TTGTCTCGCTCGCACTCACTTGGTAGATGCGCCTGCGCATAATGACACTCGACCATCTATGCCCATATTTGGACTTCGTGCGTCTCCCTTTCTCGGGCCTCGTGCCTCTCATTGCGAAGATACGCGACTAGCAATATAGGAGTATTACATATATGGGGAAAGGGAGGAAGGAGACTGTGTGCGTTAGGGAATTAAATGTCAACGTTGGTAGAATTGACAAATGTGAGCAAAGCAAACATAGCACATAGATTACTTGAAAAGGCAATGTCTATAACACTATATGAAGGACTGAAGCCATTATGGAAGAGATCCAAGAGCAGTTTATCCGAAGAAGTTTTATACGTAGAGCAGTTAAAGAACAGATGATTAACGTCTTGTGTCGGGTGACCACACGGGCAGGCAGCGTCATCAACGATGCATTTGTCACGAAGATGATCATTTACCGCCGTATGGTGAGAGCGAATTCTAGATATAAGAGAGATTAACTGGCGAAGGAGAAATTTACTTTTTTTAAACCTTGTGAACCAAGGTTTGCTCAACGGTTCCTGAATAAACCTGAAGTACCTACTTCCTTTACTGGGCTTCACGTAACAGTTGATTTTTTGACGACTTGCAGCGCCTTAGACTTAAGTATCGGAAATAGGGAGGACACCTCTTGTTTTTCAACAGGTTCTGGTAACGACAGAGCAAGCCTGGCATTCTTATCCGCACGTTCGTTACCATTTATACCGCAATGACCAGGAATCCATACAACCAACACGCGTACACTATTCCGTCTCAGCTTTAGTTTCAGCTTCTTTATTAAATACAGTGTATCAGAGTGTAAACCTTTGGGATCCGAAGATTCCAGACAGCGCATGACACTGAGAGAGTCTGAAGCAACTACTGCCAAACTGAACCCAAATTCGTCAATGTACTCCAGGGCGCACAAAACTCCTCTAGCTTCAGCCTCAAAGGCTTCCGACCAACTGCCAATACGCTCGTAATGGGTAAGGTCAGGGTTGTTCGACACCACCGCGAAGCCTACAGAGGACGGCGAGTCTACGCTGGAGTTCCGAGACATTGACCTTGTGACCTTGTGACCTGACGCCAAGGGAACACTAGTCTGCAGTATTAGAGACTTTTAAGTATAAGTTATTTAGTCTATAAAATGTATTTATAGGTTGCGTGGAAAAGCAGTATCTGCAACAGCGTGAAAAATCAAAACTGGCATTGTTGCGAATTTTTTTATTTTATTTATTTTTATTTTTATTTTGTTTTATGATTTGGTTTTGTGTCGGTATTGTTTTACCCTACACTGATGTAGTTACCGTTAGGGGTAAGTTCCGAGTGGTAATGGCGGACATGCGTACTGTTTAGGTAAGAAAGACGTACGCACAACACACACACATCCGTAACACTAAAACCCTAAACACGTGGATAGTGGGTGGTTAGTACCCCACACGAGTGACAATTACTTACACAACATACACACCAAAGTACGACTATACGAGACTTTAGCTACAGGACAGATACAAAATTATAACGAACGATTAAGAACTGATACATATACACAAAACATTCACACAACACCTACATTACAGTCATGCCATTTTAAAGCCTTATTCGTTATTTCACAGACACTGTAAACACAAACATACACACAAGGATAAGGAATGATACACACACCAAACACACACATATGGTACACACATCACACAGGAACAATTTCACACACTATACAAAACAAAAAATTTAGTACACGTATAAAAACAAAATATAGGATTAAGGACATATACACATACCATTGACACCCCACAGTTACAAACAACACACACACAAAATTTCAACCCTTATTCGGGAGTTTTACAGCCATACCTGAAAAAGAAAATAGTAACCGGTTAAGAAAAGATACACAGACGAAACACACCTAGGACCCACACACAACACACACACAAAGTTTCGACCCTTAATCAAAAGTTTCACCAGACACACATACACAAAAGAAAACACTACATAAGAAACGAAAAGTGAATCACACACACCACACACACAAATACAACATAAACAGATACAACACGATCCTTATTCTTGCGTTTTACAGAATAGGGGTGGTCAGTGCGCATGCGCGCCGTTGTTCGCGCCGCCGAGGTGGTAGAGAAGGCGACGCCCATAGATGCCAGATCGTGCAGGACAGCAACGAGAGCAGCGAGGGGCAGAGCCCCCACCGCTCAGCTTCTCGATGCTACGCACACAAGCGAGAACCGCGCACGTGTGCGTGACGTCACGCTCGGTTATATGTATAACTTATTATACATATAATAAGTTCAATTACATATTATGTATATAGTTTTGTTAACAAATATATACATATATACACAGTTTGTCCGGAAAGTTCTCGGACTACGTGAATTAAAAATCGAAAATGAAAGATATGGTTTATTAAACAAGTTTACACTTCAAGGTAGTCTCCATTTAAAGCTATGCACGTTTG